ACTAAACTAGGAGGAGTGGTAGATACGCTGGAGGGTAGGGATAGGATCTAGAGGGACCTAGACAAATTGGAGGATTGGGCCAAAAGAAATCTGATGAGGTTCAATAAGGATAAGTGCAGGGTCCTGCACTTAGGATGGAAGAATCCAATGCATCGCTACAGACTAGGGACCGAATGGCTAGGCAGCAGTTCTGTAGAGAAGGACCTAGGGGTGACAGTGGATGAGAAGCTGGATATGAGTCAACAGTGTGCCCTTGTTGCTAAGAAGGCCAATGGCATTTTGGGATGTATATGTAGGGGCATTGCCAGCAGATCGAGGGACGTGATCGTCCCCCTCTATTCGACATTGGTGAGGCCTCATCTGGAGTAGTGTGTCCAGTTTTGGGCCCCACACTACAAGAAGGATGTGGAAAAATTGGAAAACGTCCAGCGGAGGGCAACAAAAATGATTAGGGGGCTGGAACACATGACATATGAGGAGAGGCTGAGGAAACTGGGATTGTTTAGTCTGCAGAAGAGAAGAATGAGAGGGGATTTGATAGCTGCTTTTAACTACCTGAAAGGTGGATCCAAAGAGGATGGATCTAGACTATTCTCAGTGATAGCAGATGACAGGACAAGGAGTAATGGTCTCAAATTGCAGTGGGGGAGATTTAGGTTGGATATTAGGAAAAAACTTTTTCACTAGAAGGGTGGTGAAACACTGGAATGCGTTACCTAGAGAGGTGGTGGAATCCCCTTCCTTAGAAGTTTTTAAGGTCAGGCTTGACAAAGCCCTGGCTGGAATGATTTAGTTGGGGATTGGTCCTGCTCCGGGCAGGGGGTTGGACTAGATGACCTCCTGAGGTCCCTTCCAACCCTGATATTCTATGATTCTATGCAACTACTAGCACTACCATATACACTAACTCTAAGAACTATATATGCTAACTACAATAACTATACAACATATGTACAGAGAAAGTCCAAACCATTGAGAAAGAAGCCTTGTGGCAACAGGAGGGGCTGTTCCAGCAACCGTCCTGGGTGCTAAAAAGGAACTGAGAGGGCATGAGGCCAGCAGCTCTCTTTGCATGAGACTCCAGAGAGCACTAGAGCCAGCCCAATGGATACCACTGAGAGAAAAATCTCCAGTAATTGTGCACATGGCGTGCACACACCTAGCATGGAATGGACATGAGCAAGCATTCAAAGAAGTTGATAGGCAGACAGATTGCTAGAGCTATAAGTGTCCCTCTTGTGGCAGCCCAGAATTCTAAGCATGAGGGAAGACTGAACACACCAACATTCCTTATGTGGGCTCATGACCATCATATTACTTCTGAGGTGTTACTTCTGAGGATTGGGGAAGGTCGGACACACTGGCATGCCTCTGACCAGTGGGATTCACAATCTGTGAATGGCAGACCCCAGCTGAAAGCCCCTGATTCAGGGCACTGCTCAGCTGAAGAGCTGTGAGCTCTGCCTTCCACACACTAACTGATTTAATGCAGTGCGACGGCCTCACGTTTTTCCATTAGCGTCCCTACAAGACAAAGGGTACATCTACACTACCCACCAGATTGCTCTGCCATCGACTCCTGTACTCCACCGTGGTGAGAGGCGGAAGCAGAGTCAACGGGGGAGCGGCGACAGTCGACCCTGTGCCGTGAGGACGTGAGGTAAGTCGACCTAAGATATGTTGACTTCAGCTACACTATTCTCGGGGCTGAAATTGCGTACCATAGATCATAGATTATCAGGGTTGGAAGGGACCTCAGGAGGTCATCTAGTCCAACCCCCTGCTCAAAGCAGGACAGATCCCCCTCGCAGTGTAGAGACTAAAAAGAGGAGATGAAGCGAAGCCTCTAAGTTTCTGCATAGAGAAAATAAACCTGGGGAGGGGCTGTTCTGACTGAGGCTAATATTATCAGGATGAGGTTTCAGAACTCCTTGCTTTTTTGCTTCTAGTAGGTGGTGCCATGAGACCATCTGTTCATTAATCCACTAGTGTAGGAAGGGAAAAAAGAGAAATGACAGTTTAACAAATTTTTTAGTTTTTTTCAGTTTTGGTTTTCAAAATTAGGACAATTTAAAAAACTAATCAGGTCTGAAGTTGGTCCCAAAAAAATAAATAAATAAAAAAAATAAAAGTTGTGTGTCAAACAATTTTACAATCGGCTACAAAAATCCTAAGTCACGTACCATGAACATGAGTGTTATATCAAGAACTGTAAAATACACGTATACACACAAACACAAAATGCAACTTGAAGTTCACAAAAAGCACTGAAGAAATGTAAGTTAAGATGGAACTTACTCTCTTAACTCTGCTCCCTTGTGTGTATGTTTTACAATAGTCTAATTATACGATCTTATACTATTTCAAGCTGATGCTCTTTTCCCAACCTTGTTTTATAATTGGTCAGCTTTACATTCTCACATAACAGTTCATGATCATAACTTTATGGTATAACTTTAATGACAAATGTGTCATATAATCTGTTTTCCACACCTTGCTTTGGAAATAGCTACACCTCTGAAGGGTGTTTGCAACCTAGGATTATTTTTCTAACTTCTAATTAAATTACCCTGAAAACTAAACTCCCACCCCATAAAACTGACATTAAAATGTAGGTATGTTTCTAGCTTAACTGTTAAAACACTCCTTTATAATAAAATTAAGTACAGAATACAATGGAAACAGTAAAATATACTAAAAAAGATACAGGTTTCAGAGTAGCAGCCGTGTTAGTCTGTATCCACAAAAAGATTAGGAGGGCTTGTGGCACCTTAGAGACTAATCAATTTATTTGAGCATAAGCTTTGAGTTATGAGAAAGTCCTCCTATTCTTTTTAAAAAGATACTTAATATTGTAGTTACAGAACTTTAATTGATACTGTATATGAAAACTGATAATGCCATATCACATTTTATTATAATGCATTTATCTCAGAGGTGTGCAAACTACGGCCCGCGGCCACATCCAGCCCGCGGGACCATCCTGCCCAGCCCCTGAGCTCCTGGGCGGGGAGACTAGCCCCCAGCCCCTCCCCTGCTGTCCCTCCTCCTTCGCAGCCTCAGTTCACTGGGCCACCAGCGCTCTGACCCACCGCTCCTGCCAGGAAGCACAGCAGCATGGCTGGCTCCGGCACGGTAAGGGGGCGGGGGGACCCAAGGGGCAGTCAGGGGACAGGAAGTGGGAGGAGGCAGATAGGGGGCGGGGGCCAGGATGTTTGGGGAGGCACAGCCTTCCCTACCCAGACCTCCCTATAGTTTTGCAACCCCCATGTGGCCCTCAGGCCAAAAAGTTTGCCCACCCCTGATTTATATGTTGCTTACATTTTACTGTAATATTTTGTTGTGCGTATCATTCACTACTTTCCCACCATAGCAGATAGCCAAGTTCCCTGTAAGCTGTGTGGCCACACAGCAACCTATTTAGCACCATGCAGGCACTCAGGAAATCCGCCTGGGGACCTGCCCAGCCAGGGACCAGCCGGGGGAGGGGCGCCCCTCCCCTAGCCCCAACCTAGCCTGGTCCCCAACTCTGCTGCAGCCCGGACCCAGCTGCAGTGGTGTGGACTCAGGCATGGGCCGGCCCGGCCCAGTCTCATGTGCAGCTGGGGCGGTGCAGACCCAGGCTAGGCCGGGGGCCCCTTCCCCAGCCCAAACCCAGCCCCAGAGGAACTTGCTGGGGCCAGGGAAGGGGCGCCTATCCTGAAGTTCAAGTGCTGGAGAGGGGAGAGGCCCCTTTCCCCCAGCCCAGGAGCTGCTGCAGGGAGAGAGAGAACTGGGTGGAGTCCTCCTCTCTCTGCCATAGCACAGGAGCAACCTCCTGCACCCCAACTCCCTCATCCCCGGCCCCACCCCAGAGCCTACACCCCCAGCCGGAGCCTTCACACCTCTGGACCCCAACCCTTTGCCCCAGTCCTGAGTCTCCTCCCACACTCCAAACCCCTTGGCCCCACCCCCACCCCATGAATTTTGTTATGTGCACCAATATGAACGTCATGTGTGACACATCACCTCCATACTGGTGCACATAAAATTCATTCCACACATGGGTGGGAAAAATTAGAAGGAACACTGGCAGACAGTACTACAAAATGCTACCATGAAAATTTACAGTGTTTTCTACATACACTTAAGAAATAGATCATGTAATTAAAGACTTAAATAATGCATCCACACAAAGGCACAGAACTACAGTTGCAGATTCAAACTTTTGCCTTACATTTTCTAGGTTTTTTTGGTGTGTTTTTTTTTTAAAAAGGAAAAATAATCAATACAAATGCACACATACTGCCTGGGAAAAGAAAAGAGGGACAATGCAAAATCATAACATAAGATCTCCAAGTCTAGCAGGCTTACGTGCTGAGGATGAATTACTACCAGATGAACATGGCACCTGTCTGCATGCTGTACTAGCAAGGAAACTACCCAAGGCAGTTTACAAACAAATAGACCCTTGTTATGAAAGTGTTGGTAGAGCCCTTTAAATCTGTAGATATCCACGGATATTTGCAAACCATTTTTGTAGATCACAGATGGAGGTGAATCCAAATTTTATATCTAAAGCCCTGCAAATCCTCTGATATCCACTTTATATCTGCAGGTATCTTCAGCCACTGATGCGGATATCCACGGATCATTTCTGCGGGTTGTGGATCGGAAGCAGAAACAAATTCTGTATCTGCACAGGGCTCTGTGTCAGCACAGTGATTTTCTTGTTAACATAGAGAAGTAACGTTCTGCTGTGTTCGCACTGACTAAATAAAAAGTATTTTGACAGTGAGATAGCAATCTTGGTGCAGAAACTCACTTTTTTGGCAGTGACAACATAACCCAAAGCGAGAAACCTTATTAAAGACGGCACTCACAGTATGAGACTTATAAGGCATGCCACAGCATTTACCCTGGAGTTGTATAGCTATACTTGAAGGATTAAATATAAAGTATTTTACATTCAGATTCATTGACAAGTATTGTATAAATTATACAGCAGCTATGGTACTTACAGTGCCCTCTAGCTCAGAATATAGGCCCGACCAAAAACTGAAAGTACTTTTGTCCAGTTGATACAAACGAGACTTTTCAAAGGTTTCCGAATCCATGATCTGTCCTAATTCCCATGGGACATGTGTTGTTGTTCTATATACCTTCCTCTGAAAGAGAGAAAAACATATTAATATTAACATGTTGCGGGGAAGAGTCAAAATGGCTTTTGTAAAGGGACGGAAGAACCCAATGCACAGCTACAGACTAGGGACCGAATGGCTAGGCAGCAGTTCTGCGGAAAAGGACCTAAGGGTGACAGTGGACGAGAAGCTGGATATGAGTCAGCAGTGTGCCCTTGTTGCCAAGAAGGCCAATGGCATTTTGGGATGTATAAGTAGGGGCATAGCGAGCAGATCGAGGGACGTGATCGTCCCCCTCTATTCGACATTGGTGAGGCCTCATCTGGAGTACTGTGTCCAGTTTTGGGCCCCACACTACAAGAAGGATGTGGAGAAATTGGAGAGAGTCCAGCGAAGGGCAACAAAAATGATTAGGGGTCTGGAACACATGACTTATGAGGAGAGGCTGAGGGAGCTGGGATTGTTTAGTCTGCAGAAGAGAAGAATGAGGGGGGATTTGATAGCTGCTTTCAACTACCTGAAAGGGGGTTCCAAAGAGGATGGCTCTAGACTGTTCTCAGTGGTAGCAGATGACAGAACGAGGAGTAATGGTCTCAAGTTGCAGTGGGGGAGGTTTAGATTGGATATTAGGAAAAACTTTTTCACTAAGAGGGTGGTGAAACACTGGAATGCGTTACCTAGGGAGGTGGTAGAATCTCCTTCCTTAGAAGTTTTTAAGGTCAGGCTTGACAAAGCCCTGGCTGGGATGATTTAACTGGGAATTGGTCCTGCTTCGAGCAGGGGGTTGGACTAGATGACCTTCTGGGGTCCCTTCCAACCCTGATATTCTATGATTCTATATCATGTCTCATCAATCTATTAGAATTCTCTGGGGGGGGGGGGTCAACAAACGTGGACTAGGGTGACTTGAACTTTCAGAAAGCCTTTGATAAGATCCCTCACCAAAGGCTCTGAAGCAAGTAAGCAGTCAAGGGATAAGAGGGAAGGTCCTCTCATGGATCAGTAACTTGTTAAAATATAGGAGACAAACGGTAGGAATAAATGGTCAAACTTCACAATGGAGAGGGATAAATAGAGGGGTCCCTCAAGGATCTGTACTGGGACCAGTGTATTCGTAAATGATCTGGAAAAGGGGGTAAACAGTGAGGGGGCAAGATTTGAAGACAATTCAAAATTACTCAAGATAGTTAAGTCGAAAGCAGACTGCAAGGGGTTACAAAGGCATCTCACAAAACTGAGTGGGCACTATAGATACAAAATGATGGGGTCTAAATTAGCTGTTACCACTCAAGAGAGATCTGTGAATCATTGTGGATACTTTTCTGAAAACACTGCTCAATGTGCAGCCGAAGCCAAAAAAGCAAGCAGAATGTTAGAAAAAGGAAAGGGACAGATAAGATATAGAGTGGCATTAATGATATTTTCTAAAACCATGGTATACTTTGAATACTGCATGCAGTTCTGGTCACCCCTCTCAAAAAAGATGCATTAGAATTAGAAAAACTAGAGAAGGGAGAAGAGAAATTAAAAAGATTGGGATTGGTCAGCTTGGAAAAGAGATGACATGGGGGGATAAAATCATGAATGGTGTACAGAAAGTGAATAAGGATGTGTTATGTTAAATAAACCAAAGAGGGAGTGGGGGGGTCACAGCAGGTTTAAAAACAAACATAAGTACTTCTTCACACAACACAGTCAACCTGTGGAACTTGTTGCCAGGAAACATTGTTAAGGCCAAAAGTACAACTGGGGTAAAAAAAAAGATTTAGATAAGTTCATGGAGAATAGATCTATCAATGGCTATTAGCCAAAATGGTCAGGGATGTAACCCCATACTCTAAGCATCCCTACCTCTGACTGCCAGAATCTGGGACTGGACAACGGAGAATGGATCACTTGACAAATTGCCCTTTTCTGGTCACTCCCTCTGAAGCATCTGGCTCTGCCCACTGTCAGAAGACAGCATACTGGGTTAGACAGACCATTAGTCTGAGCCAGGATGGCCATTCTTATGATCTAATAAAATTCTATATTTGATTTGTTATTTTAATTTCAGTAAAGATGAAACAATATCCAGTACTAGGTTTGTGTGATTATTTATGTATCAAAGCTACATGACAACAGAATCTATAGAATAACTGTTGTTCTCAAAACCCTATCAAATGACAAATGTAAAGCCAGAGACCAGAAGCTGACATTGGAGTTGCTTGTCTATTTGTTTCTCTTATTTTAAAAGATTTTCAAAAACGGTTTATGAAGATCCCAGGAACGCTCTGTCTCACACAGCATGACTTGGGGCGCCATGGTGATGACTGAGCAGAAACTAGGCAGAGGACCAAATTCTGCCCACCAATCCCACTGACTTCACTAGTAGTACCATGCATTCAGGCAAGGCCTAAATAATGCCATAAGCCAGGGCTTTAATATCATATTCGGGAAGGGTAACTGTTAGAGCTCCGGGTCCCCTCCCTTCCCACCTTTCACCACATCCTAGGAGCTTTACGGGCTTCTCCTGATTTCCCACGCCAGGAGCTCCGTGTGCTCCCCGTTCTCCCCTCCCGAATCGCCGCCGTCTCCTCGGTCCCTGCGCTCCCCACTCGGCAGGGCACGAGGCGGGCGGCCGCAGAGGGACTTCACCGCCCGCTCTGCCCCACGCCAGCCGCCCTGTGCTCGGACCCGGGCCCTCCCGCACCTGCCGACGCGCCAGGAAGGCCTCCCACAGGTACACGGCCCAGGAGAAGAGCAGCACGGAGCAGAAGATCCGCTTCTCCATGGTCAGCTCAGCCCAGAGCTCTCCCGGCAACGCCATGACGGAACGCCCCACCTGCAACCGCTGCCACCTCGTGTCCTTGCCGACTTCCGGCCCGGCGTCACTGCAAACCCCGCCCCCTGCTTCCGGTCCGGCGTCATTGCCAACCCCGCCCCCCCGGCTTCCGGCCCGGCGTCACCGCAAACCCCGCCCCCCCGGCTTCCGGCCCGGCGTCACCGCAAACCCCGCCCCCCCGGCTTCCGGCCCGGCGTCACCGCAAACCCCGCCCCTCCCCCCCCCAACTTCTGGTCTGGCGTCACCGCAAACCCCGCCCCCCCCGGCTTCCGGCCCGGAGACACTGCAAACCCCCCCCCCCACCCACACACTTCTGGTCTGGCGTCACTGCACACCCTTCCCCCCCGGCTTCCGGCCCGGAGTCACCGCAAACCCCACCAGTGTCACCGTGAAACCCCCCCCCCTGCTGACTTTCAGCCCGGTGTCACCACAACACTGGTTAAAAAAAGGGACTAAAAGATTTGTATCACCATCTCTTGGATACTGCAGAGAATACAGTCAGAACCAGGGAGCTATTTGCTATCTTTTAGCCATCTGGAAAAATATCAAACCATTGCTTGTAAACAAGGTGATACACCGATTGATAGAGTGGTAAATAATGATAAAACAGAGCGGTCTAGGTCGCTGGGTAAGTGGAGTTCATTCAAGCAACATGCTGGGTTTTTTTAATGTGGCCAAATGCAAGGTCATACATCTAGCAACGAAGGTTATCACTTTCAAAAGTGGCCCAAGTGACATAAGACCTACTGACTTGATGTGTTTTTGAAGAATTTACCCAAAGAGTGTAGTGTTGAAAAGGGACCCTGGAGGCTCCGGTCCATTAAAAGTACGATTGGTGGCACAGCAGGGGCCCAGGGATAAGGCAGGCTTCCTGCCTGCCCTGGCTCTGCGTAGCTCCCAAAGGTGGCCACCAGGTCCCTGTGGCCCCTAAGTGTTCAGGGAGCCTCCATGTGCTGCCTGTGCCCCCAATGCCAAATAAGTAGCTCCCATTGGCTGGGAACCATGATCAATGGGAGCCGCAGGGGCAGCACATGGAGCCCCACTGGCCTCCCATGTGCCTAGGCACCTGTGCTGGGGCAGAGCCACACTCCCTGAGAAAAAGGGCTGAACCAGGCCAAAGAGGCTGCATGGATCCAGAGCCAGTCAGGACTGGGCTAGGTCCTATATAAAGGCTGCCCAGCTAGGGAGAATGAAGTCACTCCCTGGCCAGCAAAGGAGAAGGACTAGTTCCTGATGAAAAGAGTAGCAAACAGAACAGTGCTGGGCAGGTATGGGGGAGTAGATAGGAGCTCTAGCCCATTACCTGCTAGGCTGTAGCTCTGCTGCAAAGAGTCAGGAAGGTGTATAGGGCCAAAGGAGAAGTGGCCTAGGGAAACTGAGCAGGCAAGAGGGGAAGGAAGAAGGGCAGAGGGAGGTTGCTGTTAGAGGGTCCCTGGGTCAGGGGCCAGAGTAGTGGGTGGGCCTGGGTCCTGCCCCCCTTTGCACTGCACCTGCCATCAAGGAGAAGAGCTGAGACAGATAGCGACTGGCCCCTGAGATAAGGGGCTAGACTACAGGGTTGTGATTAGCCACCGAGGCAGGTGCAGACAGAAGGACTGCTGTTAATAACATCCTTCCCTGGAAGGGGGTGAGACTGGGGCAGTGTCCTGAAGCAGATAAGGACTGTCCTGAAGAGTATGCTGCTGAGCAGGATCCCAGGACTTCCTGGGAGCTTCGGTAAGCACTGCTGGGACCTTGAAGCCTGAACCCCCTCCCCAACTCCCTACAGCTGAGCCCCATCCTGCACCCCAAACCCCTCATCCAGCTCCACCCCAGAGCCCACACCCCCTAGCCAGAGCCATCACCCTCCCACATCCCAACCTCCTGCCCCAGCCCAGAGCCTACACCCCCTCCCACATGCCAAACCCCTAATCCCCAGCCCTGGAGTCCCTGCCTGCACCCAAACTCCCTCTTGCAGCCTGCATACGCTGCATGTGTAGGGGTCTCTGCTGTTATAGCTGTAGAGGCATAGCTGTATTGACAAAGCCTTTTACTGTAGGCTAGCCCTAAGAAGGAGACAACAGATGGATACAGGCAGATGGCAAAGTACAAAGAAATAATGAGGCAATATTGTCTAAATAGACAAGGAAGATACAGGGTAGGGGAAGGCATATAACATGCAAACAGGGTGAACAATCTGATAGCAGTGAATGTGACGTCAGTGCCATGATTTTGGAGGGCATGGGTTTAATTAGGTGGGAATCAGCTAAATAGAAAGAAAAGGGGAGGAGAGGCTAGGAGGTGTTGGTGTGTAGTGAAGCTGAGCTGAAGAGACTTGGAGGGAGGGGAAGCTGTTTGAGCAAACACCTAAACACAGGGCAGAGAGAATATTTTATAATTTTGACTAATGTCCAAAGGTGAAAAAGGTCCCTACTTTAGCTATTTTGGTTTCTACTGGCTGGAATCTCTGACTGCCTGCTTTCTGCAATTCTTCCTCAAGGCCATCTGGCAGGACAGAGAAGAGACACTTTCCAATCTATTAAACTAAGGAGGGTATTAAACAGCATCTACTAATCTTTTAAAATGAGCAGGCCCTGATAACTTGCATGCAAGAATCATAAAAGAGCTGTCTCAGATCTCTGGTTTACTGGTGTTTTTTAGTAAATCTTGGACTACCAGGGAAATTCAAAAAAAGACTAGAAGAGTGGTAATGCTGTGCCGATATTAAAAAAGGTCAAGCAGAATGACCAGGGTAATTATAGACTGGTGACCCGGACATCAACCCCAGGCAAAGTAATAGAAAACCTGATAAGGGATTCAACTGAAATATAATTAAAGGATGAGACTAATTGATGCCAGTCCACAGCTACAAGACTAAGCTGCTACAAGCCAGTGTAACAAGTGGTATCAAAGCATTAGAAAAAATATGCAAGAAGGTATGAGAGCAAGGGGAGGTACTGACTAAAGGCATCATTTATACCAATCTTGAAGAAAAATGATCCTACCAAATCAAATATGATGAGAGATTTTGAGCTGCTCTGCTGTTTCCTAAGCATAATACTAAAAGTATTGTCACCATTAACTGAAAATAGGGTGGCAACAACAGACCATAAAATTAAGATGCATGAATTAACAGGATGAGGTTGTTTATAGTTGTGGTAATTTGCTGTGTGGAATGTTGATGCACAGCCAAGAAAAATGAGTTAGCAGTTTGACCTTAGTATATAGTTGATCTGTTGGCAGGAAGACAAATGTGGACTGAGATCAGATAAAGGTCACTCCAGCATTGCAGGGAAGTGTCAGTCATGTATGCTCAGTGCAAAACTAGGTAAGTCACTAGACCATAATAAGAAAAGGAGTACTTGTGGCACCTTAGAGACTAACAAAATTTGAGCATAAGCTCACTGTAGCTCACGAAAGCTTATGCTCAAATACATTTGTTAGTCTCTAAGATGCCACAAGTACTCCTTTTCTTTTTGCGAATACAGACTAACACGGCTGCTACTCTGAAACTAGACCATAATAGTAAACAGATCAGAATACTCAGGCTAGTGGTGCAACTGCTGTGATTGACAGCCAGTATTTAGCAGTTATGATTCTTCTATAAGAACAGACTAATCAAAAAGGCTTTAAACGTGATTGGAGGATAGAGTATGCTAATATCAAGATTGGGAAACAAGCCAATCTGAAATGGTCTAGTGGCTGATAAAAACGGAATAAAAGAGGCAGTCAGAAGGCAAGTCAGTCAAGGTAGGGAGCTAGGAAAAGACTAAGCATACTAGCTATAGTGTAAAACAGATACTCATTAATCCAATTTCTATGTCTGTATCTTTGTGAATAAAGATGTTATGAATGTTAAACTTATAGAACAATAAGAATGCTGTCACCGACTGATCACCAAATGCAGTTGCTTAGTATTGCTCTAACTAGATGTTTATCGTTTGGGTAACTTTAACTCTTACCCAAAGATTGTGTTAAGGGGTTTGTTTGTTTTGATTAGTTTAGATTATTGTTGTGACAAGACCCCTGGAGTGCAGCCCGGGATCGCTGTGCCCCCTTAACTCTCCAGCATGGGCTGTCTCTCTCAATACTGGGTGAGAGACAAGCAGCAAACCCCTCCAAGCACTGTTATCGCTCAGCACAACAGCATGTGGTGCCCCACAACCAGCTAGATTGAACGAATGCCCTCAGAGCCACTCATGAATCACACAGAGAAAGG